GACAAACAAAACAAAAAGAACAGACGGTGAGTGAGTGGGTGGGTGGGTGGGTGGTGGGCTGGTTGGTGGGGGTGGTGTGGGAGAGAGAGAGAGGCAGTGCCACAAACGATCAACAGCCACATGTTCGTCGCTTCTTTTCTCCTTCCTTCTTTCTTTGTCGCATATACATATCAGGCTTCGCAAGAAGTCATCCAAGAAGCGTGACGGCTTCCCTGTGCCCCTACCGGGCAGCGCCAGCATCCAGCAGGCGTATGAGACATTCGCCTTCGCCACGGGCCCCAACCCACTCCTCGCAAAGGAGGAGTCATACGCCTTTCCCCCACTCCCCCAGCAGCCCGGCGACGACCAGGCAGGAGCCATCGAGGGCGCCGGGGACGACCTGCTGCTCGACACACACCCGGGGGGACGGCCTGTGGGTTTGGGTGAGGAGTGGGAGGGCGACTCGTCGCCGACGGGTATCGGGGCGGGGAGCGTGGCTAGCGGGGAGATGATGCCTCCCGAGGAGACGGAGCGTATCAAGAAGATGGTGCAGGATATCAGCGAGAAGCTCAAGCCGCTGCTGCCGCCCAGCCCGCCCCAGACCCCCCGGCTCATCATGAAGCTCCTGTGGGACCAGGAGACCAACAAACTCATCCCCCAGTACCTCTACAAGTGGGTGCAGGCCGCCGGCCACCCCTTCCGCATCTCGTCGGCGGCAGAGGTGCCCCTCGTCATGCGCCAGATCATCGCCACGCGCAACCTGTTGGCGCAGAAGCTGGGGCAGCCGCTGATTGAGGGCTACGAGGGGGTGCTGAGTCAGTTCGAGGCGCAGGCGGACGGCTCGGCGCGGCCGCGGCGTGCGGCAAGGATGGAGCCGCCCCTGGAGCTGTCCATGGACTACCCCCTCAAGCCAGCGGACATCAACAAGGTCCGCATATACGACACGAGAGGGAAACACACCACCCTCCCCATCTCTGCTCCATCTGTTCCTTCCATCCATCTCTGCAGGTAGCGACAGTGTTGTTGAAGCAGTTGGAGGACGCGTACGGGAAGGAGAATTCGCACCGGATGGCGTCGGAGGGCTCGCTGTTCCCCTTTGGCGTGGCCTGGGACCCGCACCGGTACAGAGTGCGGTGGAAGACCGGCCATGGACGACTCCGCAAGCACTTCGAGAAACGCGTGTCCAAGCGCAAGGGCGGCAGGGGACTCAGGGAGGCTATCAAGGTGGGTGACCATGCACACACACACAGAGGGAGGGAGGGAGGGAGGGAGGGAGGAGGGAGGGAGGAGGGAGAAGGCGTATGTGCACATGGCTGTGGATGGATGTGTGTGTGTGTGTGTGTGGTGATCAGGTTGCGTTGACGAGCCGGAACTTGTGGGCGTCATCGGACAATCTCCCCGTGTTGCAGCACTACCACGACATACTCTCGCAGAACTTCAAGTACACACGCACTCACACACCGACAACACCCATAGGCCACGCCCATCACATCTGTGTGTATCCATGTGTGTGTCTGACGTGTCCGTCCGATCGACAATCAGCGACCTTCTGCAGCAGTGGGAGCCGTCGATGACCAAGTCCGCCCAGGGCTCTGGCACGGCCGATGAAGACGACATGTACAACAGCCCTCCCTTCCCACAGCATGGCCCCTTCGTGCCCTACACGCCCGGCGTCCTTCCCCTCGACCCCCGCCCCCCTCCCCCCCTCACCATCCACCGCCACATGGACCACCACCGCAAGCCCCTCAGCGGCGGCCGCCAGCGGCCCCAGCGGGCCACCAGCTGGGCCGGCATGGAGCGCAAACACGACACTGACGACGGTGCCAACGAATATAGCCACCTCCACCACCTCAACGACCCATCCCTGTCGGCCATGGCGATGGGCGTGGGTATGGAGGAGGCGCGAAGGGCGGCTGGCGGCCAGGAATGCGGTCTCGTGCCGTCCGACCTCTTGAGGGAGTTGCAGCCTGATGCCGTTCTCCATGGCATGCACCACCACGCATCGCCGTCAGCAGCAGCAGCAGCAGCCGGAGGGGCCGCAGCGGGGAGCAGTGGCGGCCAGAAGCGCAAGGACAAGACGGACAAGGAGGCGAGGCCCAAGAAACGATCCAAAAAGGGCGGCAAGGCCAGCCATCCCGAGGCAATGGCGGGCAGTGTGGTAGTCAAGCAGGAGGACGGCGGCGGCGGCGAGCAGGCCGCGATGGACCAGGAGGGCCTTTGTATCGAGGGGGAGGGGGAGGGGGCGGGGGTGGGTGAGGGCAGCCAGGTGAATGATGTGCAGCAGCCCACTGACGGTGACAAGTACAAATCTGGCTTCAAAGGCGTCAGCTGGAACAAGCGTGAGCAGCCAGCCAGCCAACGAATCACCGACACGCATGCGGCCGGAGCGATGAATCCATCTATGTGTCGTGTGTGGTGCGTGGCGCGTTGTGTCCACAGGTATGCAGGCGTGGCTGGCCTTTTGGACGGAGAGGGGCACCCGCCGGAGCAAGACATTCTCACCGCGGCATGTCGGCGCCGAGGTGAGCACACACACACAACGCATAACACACAACAGGATATGGGTGTATCTGTCTCTGTCTCCACTCTGTGGCTGCCTCAGGAGGCGCGGCTGCAGGCGATAGAGTTTCTGAAGGGCAAGCGCGAGGAGGCGGGCAGCAGCACACCCGACACCAGCAGCCACCCCCAACCCAAGAAGCGCGCATCCTCACGCCAAAGCCACCCAAACAACAAGCAGGCCCTCATCCGCACCTCCACCCTCCAATCCACCGAAGACGGCTCGATGCTCGCCCCAGACGACCAACACATCAACCACCAGCAACAGCAGCAGCAGCAGGTGATTCCACCGATGCATCCCATCCCCCCACTCCCGATGCAGCAGCACCCCCCACACCCCTTCATGCCCGTCGTCCCGATGCCCATGGTGCCAATCGACTTCGGCTTCATGCACCAGCACCAGCACCAGCACCAGCAGCAGGAGCAGCAGCAGCAACAGGGCCAGCAGGGCGGTGAGGATATGCTGCTGGAGAACGCTGACGATGGCGAAGCTGAGGGTGAAGGAGATGGCTGTGAGGGTGAGGCTCATGCGGCTGCTGGCCTGGAGGGGCTGGCTGAGGCGGCCGCTGCCTTCGGGCTGGCTGGGGCGGCCGCTGCCTTCGAGGAGGGCGGGGAGGACCATGAAATGGGCATGCGGGCGGTGGGGGTGGGGGAGGATACCACCGGGGCAACGGCGGAGCGGAGAGAGGCACACTGATACGCAACAACACGCAACAACGAGTATGTACGCTCTGATAGCGGTCGGTCGTCCTGCAGACAGACAGACAGACAGACAGAGAGGCGTAGATGTGATACCAACCGATTGAGATAGCATCGATCAGTGGAGGGAGGGAGGGATGTGGCCGGCTGTCATGTCATGTGTTGTCTTGTGTTGTCTTGTGGATGGGATTCTCTGTGGGTGTCCTGTGCGCCTGCTTTTTGTCTGCCTGCCTGCCTGCCTGCCTGCCTGGCCGTGTGCGTCTGCCCGTCTGTCTGCCTGGCCGTGTGCGTTTGCCTGTGCGCATTCATTGCCGGCCACTGTCCTAATGCCGTAGCAGCAACAGTGCGGACCAGCTAATTAAGGGAGACACACACACACACACACACAGCAGCCACCTGTAGATATGATACCACCGGTGGATGGATGGATGAGAGGAGTGGAGTGGAGACAGGGAGGGAGGGAGAGAGAGAGAGCTTTTCATGCGCTCGGTGACAGGCAAAGATACGGATGGCTGAGTGCACCGCTGACCGCGGACCACATAGCAGTTGTCTGACTGACTGGCCGTGTGGGTGTCGGTCTGTCTGTCTGTCGGCATGTACTATGGCTGGCTGGCTGCGTGCATAGGGACATTCCCGCGTCGATGGCTGGATGGATGGCTGGCTGGCTGGATGGCTGGAATGGACAGACGAAAGGACCAAAGGTGGGGCAGGGCTGGGCGAACAGTGGCGCGATCGCCTTAATGCAACACATTACATTCATCCATTCGCCCACTCAGTCGTCCCTTCCTTTGGCTGACGCGCATCAATCGGATGAATATTGTCACTCCACTCCCACCCCACACCGTGTCGTGTCGTGTACGCCTGTTTGCACCAAGTAGTGATTGGATTGTACAGACAGCAATTGCAAGCCAGCCTTCGTTGGTCGACTCAGCGGCACGGACGAGTGGTCAGTCCTCTGTCTCATGTGTGGATACCTAGCGTCCCCTTGGCAGGCAGGCAGGCAGGCAGGCAGGCCGGCTGGCTGGCTGGCTGGAATTACTCGACTCGCTTCGCGAGACAATCTCACACACGGACATACACAGACGACACACGTGAGAGGAAAAGGAGGATGGAGAAATGCACACCACACGGCGGCCGGACGCAGAAATTGATGGCCCAACAGACAGACAGACAGACAGATAGACAGATAATGGCCTGCCTGCGTGCCTGCCTGCCTCGCTGAGCCGACTCTCTCTTCCTTGTGTGGTTGTTACTGCACAGCACTGAGGCAGACGAGAGGGAGGGAGGGAGGAAGGAACGAATCAAGGGACCGACCAATGAAGCAATGAACCAACCAGCAAGTGAGCGAAGTGCCCCACCCCACCTCTCAATCTCCGATAAACAAACAAGCAACCCACCCCCGCACCCCCTCATTGCCGCCCCGCTCCCTCTCAATCGACCGACCCATCATTGAATGCAAAATCGATTACAGACATGACTGACATACATACCCGACTGACTGACTCATCTCTACACTACACCACACCAGACAACAGACAGACAGACAGACAGACGGACAGACAGACCCACGCCTTAACCATCCCTCTCTCTACACGCGCGCCTCTGCCCCCTTGTGCGTCTCCACCCCCACCCCCACTCCTTCGTCCTGCCCCGTGTCATCCACCAGCGGCTCGCTCGTGTCCTCCATCGGAATCTCGTCAGGCAGCTTCTCGTGCGACGGGGGCGGCTGGTCCATTATCAAAGGCGACGCCTGAGCAGGCATCTTGACGGCAGACGATGCCGCTGCGCCAGCAGCTGCGGCGGCGGCAGACGCAGGAGAAGTGGCGGTTGCGGCCTGTAGTGTGGCTGCTGCGGGGTGGTCGAGGTCGTCCTCCGTGTCCGAGGGGTAGAAGAAGGGGTCGGTGTTGTCCTCGGAGGATCGCACATTCCGGGCGCTGTTGAGGAGCTTGTCGATGTCAGCCAGGCCGGTCTCCACCGAGTTGATCACACGAGTCAACTGGTCAGCTGAATATATGCCGAACGGAGCACAGCGGCAGAGGGGTCTGTGTGTGTGTCTGTGTGTGGGTGGTATGTGCGGCCACTGACCCATATTCGCGTGTTCGGTATCGTGTGAGAAGGTACCTTCCAGCGGGGGCAGGGGAGGTTGCTGAACACACACAGAGAGAGAACACGCAAGTGATTGATCACATCCCATCACACACACACACACAGTTGCTGTCTGTGGTGCTTTACCGAGACACTTCTGTCGACCAGAGACGCCAGGCTCGCGGCCGCAGCACACAGCTGACTGCAACACAACACAACACAACAGAATACACATTGCACACAGCAGGCAGGCAGGCACAGAGCGATATCCGCCTGTCCGTCCGTCCGTCTGGCTAGGCAGCCTGTCCCTCCCTGTGCTGTGTCCGGTTGTGTGCGTACGTCTGTTGCATTTGTGTGATTTGTCTGAGCAGCTTGAGTTCGCTCTCCATCTTAGTGGCGCGGCGCAGCAGCGCATCACGGTCCATCCGCACCTTGTGCGCCTCACTGGCACACAAACACACACACACGGACACGCACTCACACACACCGATGCGGCACCAACGCTTCTTATGCGTCTGTCTGTCTCCCCCACCCACCCGCCGATGAGTCCGTGGTCTCGTTCCTCCTTCTCTGCTTCCTCGGCCGGGGCCTTGCCTGATCGCACGCCACGCCCACGCACGGACACACAGATGTGTGTATGTGTATGTGTGTGTGGCTTGCCTTGCTGTGCCTCGGCCGCCTCGGGGCTTCGCTCACTCTCCGCCTCAGCGGCAGCACGCTTGCGAGCTGACAGACAGACAGACAAAGGGTCGTGTTGTGTGTGTCTTGGGGAGGGGAGGGCGAGAGGGGATGGGAAGGGCTGTTCACCTTCTTCCTTGACGGTTTCTCTGAGTTGTTTGAGGTTGTCCTTGAGGTCTTTCTCCTCCCGCCTCAGCTCGTCGAGTCGGCTCTGCGCCTCCTGCAGGCTGGCCTCGCGCATCTCCAGCCCAGACACTGCCGCAACCTCCTCAGCAGCCTCACCCTCGGGCTCGGCGGCCTGGCACAGACAGACGGTCGTAGACAGACAAGAGCTTGTGTGTTGTCGATGATGTGGTGTGCTGTGGTGGGATGGTTGATGTGCACACCTGTGTGGGCTCGGATATGTCCTGGGGCATGTGTGTCATGGTGATGGACCGGGCCCACAGCAGCAGCACAGGGGGGATCTCACGGTGGGAGGACAACTCAAACCACTCACGCAACTGACACACACACACACACACAGACAGACAGACAGACAGACAGGGAGGTCACACAGCGATTCGTCCACTCAGCCACCCTTGCACCTGTTCTCTCATCTCATCGTCGCTGATTCCGTAGAAGCGCATAGCTCTGGCCTTGCAAGCCTCGATGAGCTCCTCGTGTGTGAGGTTCTCCACCCCCTCCCACATCATCTCACGGTCCTCCCGCTTGAGCTGCAGCAGGTGGTGCCGCAGCTGCAGCACCACGTGCGTCTGCAGACCGTACGGCTCGATGCCCAGCATCCGACAGATCACCTGCACACACGCCAGTCAGTCAGTCACCACACCACACACACACACATACATATGGGGAGGGAGAGGGAGAGGGAGAGGGAGAGGGAGGGGAATGCGGTCACCTTGAGCGATTCGGCGGACATCTTCTCGAGGTTGAATTCGTCCTTGAAGAGCTTGGCGAACTGCAACACCTCCTTCACGCTGAGGGAGGGACCGATCAAGGTGGAGCGAGAGGGACAGACACACAGACAGACAGATGACGGAAACCCACAACAAGAGGCGCAAGCCTGCCTGCCTGCCTCAACGCATCCATCCTCCGTGCCCACCTGAGGAAAGGGCTCTCTGACTCGTCTCGCGTGATGAGCTTCTCCTGGAAGCCGCGCAGCACCCCAGCCTTGTCGCGATGGCTGTGGTCAGGCGCCTCTGACACACACACACACACACACACCCCAAGCGGATGAATGAATGGACGGCGAAGCGGCACACCCCAAGCGGATGAATGAATGGACGGCGAAGCGGTAGCCTAGCCTGCACTCTCACTCTCTCTCTCTCTCTTTCTCACCGAGGATGGATTTGGTTCTCTCGTTGACGATTTCCTGGAAGAAGTTGGCCAGTTCCTGCTTGGCCTTGAGCTTCCGGGAGAGGTATGCGCTGTCGTACTGCTTTTCGAAGAAGGTCGACGGCAGCATGTTGGGGAAGAGCCGCAGGGCGAAGGGCAGGGCCAGCTCGCCGAGTGGGATGATGATGAAGAGGGAGAAGGGGATGAGCTTGAACATGTCGGTGGTCGTCCGCACCAGCAGCTTGTGCTCGCGGTAGGACAGCGGCAGCCCCGTGAGCTTCTTCTTGACGAGCTGCGTCGACACCCGGATGTTGGCCACGAACAGGGCGAACCCCGTGTAGACCCACTTACACCAGTGGATAGTCTCCTTCTTGATGTCGTGCCACCACTTGATCAGCACACGGGGGTCGCGACGCACCTGCAGCACCATGCCCCACACCACCTTGCCCAAGTCAACCGTCCACTTGACCGCCGCCGCCGTCTGCTTCTTGACCCAACTCGCCGCCGACACCACGCTCAGCTGACTCGTCTTGACCGGCGGGCCGTAGACAGCCTTTGTCATCCCGTAGGGCACTGTCGTGCTGTACAGCGAGTACCGTCGCAGCGTCTGCCACCATAGCACCCAACTCTCCTCCTTTTCAGCTGTCCGCGGCAGCCAGTGGACGTCACGCGACAGCCATGATGAGTTCCTCGGCTCCTGGGGCTGATTGCTGGTGCTGGAGTGGCGCACAAGCACCAGTGCGGCGTAGCTGGGAGACGATGGGATACATGCCTGCCGCAGGAGGCTTCTGGACAAGACGCCGGGCCGTCTGAGGACCGCTGCACCCACTTGGCGCGTGAAGGAGCGGGCGATGATGGAGCTCATGGCTGGCAGCTGCTTGCCGTTGCTCGGCAGCCTTCGTAGCCTGAGATTTCCCTGACCTTCTTCTCTTGGCTGCTAGCTTAGCTTGCATACGGCGCGAGCTTTTTGTCGGCCGCTCCGGATCTGGCCTCAGCGCCAGGCATACAGCTGCAGAGATGCACGTGGCACCAGGTGAGGGCAAATAATGGACAAACGATGTATGTACCTTTTTCACTTCTTCAGCCAGCAACTGGCCAACTAGTGCTTGTGGATGCCTGTGGCTGACTGATGTCTGTAGGCGCCGTGAACTGACATTTGGGAGATCTTGGGCTTGCCCTGACGCCTATAGATGCGATGCCGCTGCTTTTAAAAGGCTGCCACGTACGCTGGAAATACATCGACGAGGGCGAGCAGAGTGGGCGAGCCCGAAGTCGCCTCATTTGTGTATGTGTTGTGCCGCAGGTGATGGCCTCGAGATCGCTGCAAGCGTGTGACAATGTCTGACATAGACCGGTGCGAGGCGGTGGGCCGCCCGATGGGTTCGCGAGCGTTAATGCCATCAGCTTGTACGGCTTCCCCGCGGCAGCTCGAGCCGCACCTCGCGGCACAAAACGATGCAGCTGGTCTGGGCAATCATTCGCCGAACATTCAGCGACCCGTACGCCGTGACGGACCTCACTCGCCAGGGAGCTGATCCGAACTGCAGCCCAGAACTGCATCAGACCGGCAGCGGCGAATGGCGAGCCTATCCGTTGCTGTGTCTGGCGATTGACAATTTCACCCCCTGCGTGCCGATCGTGAAGACAGGCGATACCTCGCGGCCCGTCGCGTTGCCGAGGTGGTCGAGGCCTCAGCTTGAGAGGGACGTCCTGGAGAGGGGCGTCCAAGGGGGCGCTCTTATCAACAGCATCAGCAGCTCTCGTGACATGGAGAGATGGGTCATCACCGCCCTCGTCAACGGTAGCGCGGGCATCAACAGCGGCTATCGTGAGAGGGCCATGGTCACCTTTAGACAGGGGCATCATGGTGGCAGTGCAGGGGCCGTCGTGGGCAGCGTCGCCAGCGGCCTTCTCGGCCTCAGCCTCGCCCCCAGCGCAGGCATAGCCGCAGGTGTCGGGAGTGCTGCATTCGGTGCCGGGCTGGGGTGGCAGCTTGGCACAACCGCCGCCAACTGGTATGTCGGTTGGCGATTCACCGCAGCGGGTCCGGGCGGCGCATTACGGCGTCCTCGATGTGATTTTATGGTTTGCTGCTTGGTGTCCTCTGCTGTGTTGACTGGCCGACTTGCTCCTCCGTGGTTTGGATTGACTGGCAAGTGGACAGCCATTTGTATGTATCATGCTGATGAGAGCTGTGCTGCAGTCTGTGCATAGGCATGCAGGGGTGGGAGACTGAAGGGGAGAGAGAAGGAGGTGGGGCAGTCAGTAGTTTGGCTGATCATGCATGGCTTTCCTTTTCTTCTGTGCGCCGACTCACTCACTCGCTGACTCTCTAAGCCTGTGTGCAGTGCAAATGGGGGATTCACGATCTGTTCCGTTGATGAGCGTGTGTGTCCGTCCATACCTGCCTTCACACGTATGCGCTCTGGTCTGTTTTGCCCGGGTTGACTCTTTCAGATGGTGCAAACATGACTGACACACAATATGCACATCAGCAAGTACATCAGTGGTTGCATGCTTGTGCTCTTTGGAAAGAAAGGAGCCTGGCAAATTTCCGTCTGCAGGCCAGGCAGCACTCCTCTTTAGATAGTGCTCTCCCTACGGGTACGTACAGAGAGAGAGAAAATGAGAGACGGAGAGTGAGGTGTCTGTCGTTCTGCGAGTGTGTCTGGCTGGCTGGCTGCCTGGTGCACCAGCACACGAGCAGGCGGCCCTTCGCTGATTTGGGCGCGGCGCCAAAGCCTTCTGGCCGGAAGAGACGAGACAGACACAGAGAGGTGTAGCAAAGAGGAAGGGACACGTGTCCTGCCTGCCTGCCTGCATGAGAAAAACAGCGCGTGTGAAAGGAGTGCATGCATGAAGGAGCACGGACAAACAGCCTGTATGTCTGCAGTGCAATGAAAGTCTGTGGCATGCACCTTGTGGGCGCTGCGTATGCAAGACTGGCGGTGTCGGTCATGTCATGCATCTCATGCTGTCTACTTACTGACTGTCTACTACTTACAGACAGACAGACAGATGGCCCCACAGGCACGAGCCTGTGGGGCCATCTGAGAGAGGGCGACAGGCGCGCTGACGGTGGCACAGCGGCCGGGCATTGTCCACTCGGGATACGAGCGGCACCAGGCGAGTTACTTGGGGACGCCCCTCTCCCAGCCGTACTTACTGTGTGTACTGTGTGTGTCTGGATGGATGGACTGATGGTCAGGCTGAGAAGATCCGGTCAGGCTGGCGTGTGAATCTGGTGGTGTGGGGGCGCAGCTCGGCCGTCCGCAACGACCGGTGTCCGATGTGCCTGGCTTCGCCGCCCCGCGTCTACCGTGTGTGGGGAAGGAGGGGAGGGCTTCACTGTGTGTGGCGAGGAGGACAGCAGTAAGAGGGTGACAGTGATCGGCACACTTGAATGAGGGAGGGAGTGAGTGAGCCGAGAGGGAGGGAGTGAACCGAGAGGGAGGCAGGGAGGGACGGCTGGGGGTGTTGATAGGGAGAGGTGCGTGAGCGTGGGAGGGGAGGGAAGACACACACAGTATAGTGTGGTGTGGTGTGGTGGGGTTCGCTGGCTGACATTTTGCCACAGTGTGGGGTTCTGGAAGGCTAACCAAGTCGAGGCAGGAGAGGGCCCACTCACTCATTCATTGACCTGTGCCAGCCAATATAATGTGGTCGGTCGTTCGGAGCGCTTGATGGAAAAGACAAAGGAAACGGTCCATCCATCCGTGGACTGAGTGCAACGCTGCAGCCAGGCCATGGAAGTGACGTGCGCGGCCAACACCACCCACGCCAGACAGACAGATAGACAGACAGACAGACAGCCGATGGGATCACACAAATCACATAACAAACAAAATGACCATAATTAAAACTCTGTGTGTCCCCCCCTTGTGTTGTGTCAACCCCTCTGTGTCCGTGTGTCTGTGTGTATCCCGCCCGTCTGAAAGAAATGGTGCACTACTCGGCTATCTAATGCTGCCGTGGTGTGCCGGGGTGCGGTGCGGTGCGGTGTGTGGGCTGCATGGCAAGGGATGGGAGATAAGGGACACACCACACAACACAACACGTACACACACACGTACACACATGTCACACATATCTTTCGTCGTGTCGCGCGTACCAGTTGGGCTCAATCTAGATATTGAGAGAGCTTCAGTTTCTTCCCTGTCCTGAAGCCTCACTCCGGGATATCATCATCATATTTGTAGTATTTTTGTGTTTATAATCCGTGCCGACCTACAGGCACACAGGCAGGCAGGCAGGCATGAAAACACACAAACAACGCTGACTGGACTGACGATTGATGTTCTTTGTCTGTATGGCATGCGTGATCCCTCCCTTACGTACGATGAGGTAGTAGAGACTTTTGTCAAAATCTCCTGTTCTGTTGCGTCCTTTGAACCTTCTGGCGCTGAAGAGGCATGCCTGATCTTGCTCGGGGCGGTGACCTCTACCAGCTGGCCAGAACCTTCCCCCCGCACAGCCGTGGCCATCTCCCTCGGAAACTAAACCTAGTAGTACCCACAACATCACACATCCATCTATCGGCTGTTGGTTCGCAACGAGATGGTGCTCCACCCACAAGGTAGCATTCCGTCAGCCCGCTGGAAACACACACGATGGGCACAGACACATACCAGGAGAGATCTGTCCATCCATCCATCCATCCATTTCCCCTACCCGACGGCGAATTCTCCGCCGATCGTGCAGTCCTCCCCCTCGCAGGCGTCTGCATCTGCATCTGCACATCCATCCATCCATTCCGCCACTCACATGGAGGGGATCCGTCCATCGGATCTCACTCCGCCTCACTCCGCCTTGGCGTCTGGACTTACCGAGGCCGTGTTCGGTGTGGATCTCTTCGCCCGCCGCCAATGGGCCGCAGAGGGCAATGAGCGCAAAGAGCAACGCCAACATCGCAGATCTGCCCGCCATCATTTTCTCGCGCTACCATTCTCGGGACGTTCGATGGCCAGGAAGCTGTTGTAAACAGCCCTGTGCGAGCTCTCTTGAGGGGGTGGGGACCATTAGGCATGGATGGATGGATGGATGGATGGATGTGGTTGCAGGATTCTCTGTCGGCCAACAGCAAGGTCCGAGATCTGGCATGTGACGCGCTCAACACGGTGGGCAATGCCCGTCCGCATGTGCATACCATCCAATGGCATAGAATGGTTTGTTTGGTGCAGGTCGGTTTTGTCGAGTCGGCCGATGGCCGACATCTCATCATGCCGGATGGACTCACTCACAATAGGTGCGTCCGTGCACACACCTTGGTGCGAGAAGGCGTCGACCGCTCGCCTCAGTGTGCTTCAAGTTGCTAACGATGTGATGTGCCATGGCGCCCCTGGAGGCTGATTAGCGCCCAGATGTCCATTGACGATCAGGCCGCCAAGGCAGGCATCGCCATCGATAAGCGTGCGGCGCCCCCTCCCACACAACACACCCACACGACGATGCACGGACACCCAGAGCATGGCAGCCCTCCACTCACCATGTGTGTGTCTCCGTTCGCACGTTATGGATACGGCCAAGAGTTCTACCACACGTCCGAGGCGCCCTGCTACCCCCCTCCCCCTCCCCCGCCCCCACTCAGTCACTCTCGCCTCCCCCTCCAGGCATTCACCAGTACATGGCCCCCGATCCATCGGCTCACGCGCAGCAGCACTACGGCCGCCATGACGGCGGCTATGTCGCCGTCAAGCAAGAGGAGCAAGAGGATTACCGACACGACAGTGGTGAGAACAAGCAGTAGCGCGCCAGCCCCTGTCCGCAGTCGTAAAGCCGTGCCTCTCCTTTCTCCCTCTGGTCTGGACAGGTAACTCGTGTGTGAGTATGAGTTTGCATCTGGCCCACATGCCGCCCCCCGGCCTCGCCCCTCCCGCCGCACGCCCCGATACCATGCCGCCCAACCTGCACGAGCCACTCCAGCCGGCGTCGCAGGTGTCACGCAATGAGTCGGACGTCAGGGGTGCAAAGAAGGAGGCGGAGGGGAGCGAGCTGGATGGTTGGATGTATGCATGACAAAGGGCCACGGGTGGACTGATGCGGGAGGGAGGGAGGGAGGGAGGGAGGGACGAGCGGGCTGACGCGTGGATGCGTGTGTGAGGTGGTGTACGCTTCTCTGTCTGGCGGTGCCTTTCTGCCTCCCTGCCTCCCTGCCTGCCTGCCTGTCTGCCTGTCTGTCTGTCTGTTTGTGCGTCTGTAGATACACACATACATACATCTGATGGACCGATCTGATGGACGATGGTTAACTAAACGAATGGAACGCACACATATACACGTCAGTACTCACCACAGGGTGAAGATCTCTTCACATCCTCTTGATAGTGCTCCCACAGACACGTTAATCGAGAGTGTGTCGGTCGGTCTGTCTCTCCCTACTCACTCACACACACGCACAGCACACATAGATCAGCCGACGCCATTCGTCAGCATGACCTGGTCATCTGTCCCCCGTGGCCCTCCCCACGACCCATTCCGCCCATCACCACCGTCGCCCCCTGTCGCGTCAGCTCCCCGCCCACCGCCGACCGGAGACCGCACTCAACGGTGTCGCGCAACTCACCTTCAAGCACACACATCGACATAACACAGACACAGAGAGAGAGGGAGGTACACTTTAAAGTGCTGTGCTGTGCTGCCGCGTAGCGTACCGGCAGATTGCTGAAGCACCAGCAGCTGGTGGTCGAGGGAGGCGTTGGCCTGCTGAAGCTCCGCAACCTCCCTAGCGTAATCAGACTGAAACCACACACACACACACACACTCACACATACAGACATACGCCACACACTCGTGCCGCGCCACCCAGCCAGTCGGCCGCCCACGTACCTCTTTCTTAAGGTTGGTGGGCAAGGGCGGCATCATGCCATCCTCTCCGCCACAGATGAACCGCCTCAGCTTGGTGTAGTGGCCCGTCAGCCGCCGCACCCTCTCCTCCACCGCACCGTCGAACACATCGGCCATCTCGCGGCCGTTGCGCAGCCTGGTCCGCTCCTCGTCCATCATCCGCTCGAGCGACTCACGGGAGAGCCCACTGGCCGCCCTCTCTCTCTCCCGTTCCCTGCGCCGCCTCTCCTTGTCACGGACCCTCTCCAGCTCCCTCTCTCTCTCCCTTTGCCGCTCCTTCTGCAGCTCTCTCTCCTTCTCGCGGTCCTTTTTGGATAACTTTTTCTTGCCGCGCCCCTTGCCGGAGGCCCTGCTCTTGACCTTGACCTTTGGCTTCGGCTTCGGCTTGGCCGCAGGGGCCTTGCCCTGCGCCGCCCTCTGCTGGTCTGCCGATGAACCTTGCTGCTGTTGCTGCTGCTGGGTGGTGTCCCCAGCTGCTGCTGATAGTGGCGCTGCTGTCGATGGCTGCTGTTGCTGCAGGGGCTGTGTGAGGATTCTGTCGAATTTCTGGAGGGCCTCGGGCGAGGTGAGGGTGGGGAGGGAGAGGGGAGGTGCCTCGAACAAGGCCAACGCCAGACAACCCTGATCAGACAGACCAGACAGACCAGAGATGCATGGACACACACAACACACACACATCCATCGACGGTGCGTTGCTGTGTTGATGTGTGCGGTGCGGTGCGGCGCAGGCGTCCGCCAGGCTCACTCACTTGCAGCTCCTGATAGAGGTCACTGATGGCCAGGCGGATCAGGCCTCCGCGGTCACCCGCTTTCGCCGCGGCAGATGGAAGATCTCGAGGAGCAGCACTCGAGCCGCCCTCTTCGGCCTCAAGCATGTTGCAAGTGAGGAGCTATTCCGGTCCTTCCCCCCTTTGCACGTCTAAGCCCGCAGGGTTTGGAACCCTGCCGACCGACCGCTGGGCTTCGAGGCTTTTTCCCATTGCAATGAAGTGCCCATGAAGGCTGCTGCCGCGCTCATTGAGTCCGAATGTATGAGGTGAATGCGGCTGGTGTGCAGCAGTGGGCGGCAGACGCACCCAGACATTCACACACAGCGCTTGAGGCCTGGGGCTGGGAGGCCGGGGAATGACTGCTGGTGTGATGGGCTGTCTGTGTGCGGCGGTTTGACCGAACGGCCTTGCGTGTGTGAGAAGTGGGTATGCCGCAGGAGGGGTATCGATGGGGTGAGTGCGGTAGAGTGCGGTGAAGTGGTGAGAAATGCAATTTGGTGGAAAGGACGAATGGCGAAGCGGTGCGTGTTGGCATCTCACAGAACAACTTGCAGTAAAGCTCCACAGTCAATACTCAAGTCTACACGGCATCGCCAAGTTGGCCAAAAGCCCGTGGACACAGAGAGAGAGCGAGAGACAACCGAGTGAGTGCAGAGGGTGGATGCGTGTGTGTGGGGGGCTATGGGATGCACACACACACGACAGACACACACAGACACACTCAGGCTCGCCGATCATCCATCCATCCATCCATCCAGCAGTGGCCCTGAATAACACAAATACACACATGTTCGTTCATACGTAAGCGCCTTCAAGTGTGTGTCTGTCTGTCTGTGTGTTTGTGGCTCTCCTCTCCTCTCCCCCCTCTCCACTCACCTGTCAATGGGTCGATGTGTTGTGACCAAGAAGGAAAGAGAGAGACAAGGAGAAAGAGGGAGACAAGGCCTTGTGTTCAGAAACCAACGAGTGTGCTAAAAAAAAGGCGGGTTACAATGTCGGCGGGCAGAGAGAGGAGGGCACCGACATTGTAACCCGCCGTGCACACCCGTCCGGATATAAAATGTAGGCAGCGATCATCCAACCATCCATCCAACCATCCAACCATCCAACCATCCATCCAACCATCCATCCA